TTTCTTTAAATATGCCCAAAAATCAAAACAGACGATTTAAAACGGAACGGAGGGACGATATATTAATGAGATAAAACAATTTTTGTATTATTATCTAATATAAATTTTTTTATTAATAACTATTTTTTATCAATTTTAACTATAAAAAATTCAAATTAGACAAATACGAAAATAATTTTTTAAAAAATAAATTCTACTCGTATCGAAGAAGGCCTTTACGGAGTACTAATAAAGATGTGCGTGAATGATGAGGGGTCCGGACGGACCGCGGAGATAGAGTTGTAAAATTGTACAAAACCGATTCGGTGCACGAAACAAAGTTAGAAAATGTATTTGTCAATTTCTCAGGTACTCCAACGCATTTTTTATTCGTTTGGTTACACACTTATACTCGATTGATTTTTTTCTTGACAATATGAGCTTTTCACATGGAGTGTTTGTACTTTGTACGCCAAAGTTGGTGAATTTACCTTGTACCGGAGTATCAGGTCTGTGGCTACTTAAGTTCACACTATTTTATATGCTAAATCATTAATAGGGCTTTCACAAGGGTGGAGGGAGGGGGCATGCCCAGGCAAGTGCTCCCGACGAAATATGATAGAGGTACCCATCGGCAAAGAGAGGCCGGATTTGCCCCCCCCATATTGGTCTGGCAGGCGGCACTGCTGTCTGCGGCAGCAAGCCGAAGAAGAAGGAGGCGGAGAAATCGCTGAAGAAGAAGAAAACGTACGACGTCGTTTTCTTAAATGTTTAAAAAAAACTTTTGGGCGTTGAGCATTTGACCCATCCCACACTCCAGAAGCTCAATTGCCCCAAAAAAACGGACTAAGCCGGAAACCAGACGACAAATCACGGAGTAACTCATGCTAAATATTTGTTGACTAATTTTTCGTTGTTTTTCAAAGCTTTGTTTGCTAATCCGTATTTGGGTGATGATTATGGGATGCTTTTTACTACCGAGTATTTAAGTATCAAATTATGATACTGAATGCTTATTACTATAGAACTAATTTGTTATGTTTTAAATTGAAATTAGGGATTAATTTTTTTAAAATCAAGACTTTGAAAAAAAATTAAATTAGCGTATGCAATAATAAATTAAATAATGCTCTATCTGTCCTAAAATTATATACCTTCTTCACTATTCCGAAATCACGGAAATTTTTGTTTATTTGTGTATTTTTATTGATTATTTGATAAAATAAAATATTCTTGTAACCACTTATTTTGTAAAAGATTTGACGTACTCCGTAGTTTTTGAATATGTAAGTTAGATTTTTATTTATATATTAATCTTTAAATAAAATGAATTAAAAAATTTTTAAATCTTACATCATTTTGTGAACTATCATTTTTGGTTATTTTTTTGGCATAATTCGAATAACATTTGTTTGTTTTAGTTTAATCCCGCATTAATATGATAGTGTTTGTTCTAACTTAAACTTTTACCGATTTATTTTTGACACCTTCAAAAAATCTCATATTAATGGAGTCGGATAGCCATAAATATTTAGGTTAATTTATTCTCGCCCGGCCGATGTTGGAGTTGGTTTGCATCACAACACTTCATGGTTATATACGGAGTATTTTTTTTTGTATAAGAATATTTTTTGTGTTTTTTTTGCATTTCTTCTTTCTATCCGTCATTTTTTTAAACATTCAAAAAAGGTTTTTCTTTTTATTTCGGAAACAACAAATGAAAATATTTATTTAGAGACAAACTTATCAACAAAGTTACATAAGGGTTTATTGAAACAGAGATCACCTGCCATCGAACAAAATCAGAAGAGCCATGCTAGGGGTACACCAAAAGTTTGGTGTACCCATTTGTCCCCCACCCCTTTCTCTACCACTCATTTTAACCCCATTTTTATTTATTTAATTTTTTTAAATTTCTTGCCCATTTTTGTGGTAATGGAGGGAGTGGGGGACAAATGGGATACATACCCCTAGCATTTTTCAAATCAGAAACATACCAAATGTGATCATCATTCTAAAAGAATAAAAGAGTGAGGAGTAGGGAGTTTTTGCATAATGTTCTAATTAAAAATGAGAATGAAAAACATTTTTACGAAATGTAGAGATATAAAACATATGAACCACTTGAAGGAACAGATGACAAATCAAGTCAGATATATATATATATATATATATATATATATATATATATATATAAAATTGACTCCAGTGAGATGACATCTTACGGTGAGATGACATTCTAAGATCAGATGACGCAGAGCTCACTACTGCAAACTGCAAAGCTAACCAAGGACAACTACAAAGTTCACCAAATTGTAAGGCAAAGCTCACCATATTTTTTCAACACTTTGATTTTTTTTTGAAAAAATAAAATCAAAGAAAGAGATGCTGACTGGACTTTGACCGTTGACCGAGACCTTTGACCGCCACTGACGCCGCCGGACACCGCCGGTCTCCGGAATCTTCCGCTGCCGCCCCGCCACCGGTCACCGGAATCCGCCCCGCCGCCGGTCACCGGAATCCGCGGCTGCCCTGCCGCCTGTGGCCAGCAACCGCTACATACATACATACATATACATACATACATATATCTATATATATATATATATATATATATATATATATATATATATCTTCGACTAATTTTCTCACTCCGTACATTCATTTGTAAATGTTTGTGATTTAAAAAAAAATGGAGTGTGAATTAAGACCATTTTAATATTTTTCATATTGATTACTCGGAATTATCAAATCAATCAACCAAAGTTAAAAGAAAAAAGAAAATCAATCAAAGTTCCCATACATACAATTGGTTCATGGTCACATGTGGCACATGAATATATATACTACGTATATGTACATGGATGATTTGTTGAGATGACAAAAATGCGAAATGGGGCCCATGCTCTATCACTCGTATCTTGTCACTATTTGTCAGGTAGTGAGCCCATTTGGTGACACATCAGTGGCGGCCAGCAATTTGCACCAACCACACATCACATTTCATCCTTGTGAATTTCCTTGAAACTGCCCAAATTCTTGAGAAAAAATAAAATCCGAAAAAAAAGAGAAATGAATCGTGGATTAAATTTTTTCTAGACCAAAATTTTTGTCCTTTTTTGTACCTCAAATATCTGCGTCGATATTTTATGTTAGTGTGATGATTTACATTGACATAAAATGTCAGTGCGATTTTTTTAATTAAACTATTATTTTCTTCCAATGTGAACTGTTAAAATGTTAGTGTATTTCTTTGGGATACACTTTTGGTGTACCCCTAACATGGTTGTAAAAAAAATGTACACGTGTTCCAAGTTGGTGTACCCTAATTTCTATACGACACATCACTCATTGTCTTTGTGAAACACTAATAGTAGGTATCTATGTGTGTCTATTAAAAGCTAGTGTACACATGAGGTATACCAATTTAGGGTACCCCAAACAAACCTTACAGGTGTAATCATAGTTCAATCGTTAGAATATGCACAAGGAATACTCCCTTTGTTCTGATTTATTTTTTCATTTGGGAAAAACATGCAAAATGTCATATCTTATAAATGATTTTATTTAGAAGTTGACATAGAAATAAATAATACCAATAAAAATTACACTATCAAAAACTATATCAAATGTTATACAAAATAAGAGGTGACAGTAATATTTTAATTTATTTTTCAAATTAGACAAACATAAGTTATTAAAAGACCGGCGCTATATCATATTGGATGAAATTATCACATCATCGTTGTCAAATATCAATCTTGAAGTCTCGAACTTAACATTCTCCTCTCGAGATCATCTAAGCTCACCATCCAAATTCTTAAATACATTATCGCTGTCAGAAATCAGGCTGGATACCCTGAACTTAACATTCTTCCCTCAAAACCATCCAAGCTACTTATCTTTGAATATTTTATCAAGTGATATGATCCCTTAACAAATAAGAGCATCTCCTAGACCATAAGTTAATTGAGATAACTAAATTACTTGAATTGGATTTAACTTAGGGCAAGAGAAACTAAGTTAATTGAAAAGTGTTGCACTGAACTGCACTTATTTGAATTAGATTGAACGAAAAGAAACAATCATAAATAAGATAAATATGAAATAAAAAACAAAGGGGACATTATATAGTATAATTTTATATTCATAATCTAAAGTCATAGCATATATTTCTATTCTTATGTTTAAAATGTTCATAGATTATATATAAAAAGTCACGCAGAGTAACTGATATACTTGTGAATGACTTTTGTTTATGTATGAAAATCCATGAATTCTTATTTGATTTTTTTAGATTTTGCGATATTAACAAAAACATATAATAATAAAATTTTAAAAAAGCATCCTAGCATTCTAATGAATATATTGCCCTAATAAAGTGTGGCAACAAAAAAATTCCATGTACAATATACTCCCTAAGTCCAAATTTAATATTCAAATTCATATTTCCATATCTAAGTTTTGAAGTAAAAATAAATCTCGTTACTTTTCAATTAAGTTTTAATGACATAATAACAAATTATTTATTGCTGCGTGTATTATTATTATTGGCGATGATCTTCTAATCTTGGATTCTTGACTGATCTTAAATAACATTAACATTCTTGGCGATAGTTCATATCTCCTAAATCAAATAAGATCGTCGATTTGGCAGAGCCAAATCGGCTATTTAGAGGGGGCAGGGGTGCGGTACAGGGGAAGGGAGAGTTTACGAAGATTAGAGGTAGAAATTATCAGTTTTACAATGGAGCACCGTAGAGGTCCCAGGTTATTTTAAGATAAAAAAATTTCAGATAAAAAGAACGGTAGTGTATTATTATTATTACTCATATTATACTTCAAATATAAAATTATTTAGATATACGATTACATGACTACAAATAAAAAGTTATACTCCAAAATAATCAAAAACCAATATGATAAAAAATTATTTATAGATACGGAGTAATTATTAAATATATCCAAAAGATCACACCATAGTTTTATTATTATACGCAACTCTTATAACCCACGTTGCGGGACATGTTAGTGCGGTTGTTTCAATTATTGGTTTTCATCTTTTTCTAACGCCAGTTGAACCAAGTGGCCAACCCCTTGTTTAAGCTTTTTTCAGGAAGGGGGACAAAGTTTCTTGGATTCTACTGCTGGCGTTTCCCCGGAAAACTCTCCAATTGCTAAAAAGTTTCATCTTTGCGGTCAAACTCGGCTGATTCAGAGAAGTGGGTAGTATTGTTGTTGATTCGTATCCTTATCAAATAGAGAAAGCTTCAATCTTTGCACTGTTTCAAGGTACCATTATCTTCAGATTCTGGGATTCGGGTTCATATTATGGAAGATTGTGAACTTCAATCTGTTGGGTTTGAGGTGCATATGTAGGTGTTGTCTGAGGATTTGAACTGTGATAAGTGATTGTGTCGGGCTTGGCTTTGACTCAGTCAACATATTGATCTGACGATGGCGAAAAATTTCTGGTCTTCATCTTCTTGAAAGTGAAATTTCTGGTTCAAGTTCTTGAAAGAGAACCAGGTTTGGTAAATTCTGAGGTCCAGCAATGGAAAAACAGACGAGTTTCCGAAATGGGGTGGTACTGATGGAGAAACAGAAGAGTTTCAAGAGACAGATGGAGAAGCAGAAAAGCTTCAGGATAGCTATGGAGAAGCAGAAAAGCTTCAAAAGGGGAAAGGATTCTCCTGGGAAACGAGGTGATAGCCCGCTTCACCACGAGGCTCGAGCTGGGAATCTCAATAAGGTGAGAGAAATTATGCAGAAGCTTGATGGACAATCCATGAAGGATTTTCTATCAAAGCAAAACCAGGAAGGGGAGACTGCTCTTTATGTTGCTGCCGAAAACGGGCATGCCTCAGTTGTTGGAGAATTCTTGAAGCAGTTAGACATTGAAACTGCCTCTATTGTCTCTAACAATGGATATGATGCTTTCCTTGTTGCAGCCAAGCAGGGTCATCTTGGTCAGTCTTCTGCATCATTTTCGGTTGCCTGTGATTTTAGCAGTTTTTCTTTAACATTTTTTCAAAGTTGTGGGCATTTATTTTAGCAGATTTTGTGTTGTCACTCGTTTGGCTTAGATTTTAGCATTAGCCTTTTGAAAAGGCGATCAAGGCTAGCCTTTACCATTAGCATTTTCAAAACTAATCAACACCATTAAAATTTTATCCAAAATGCCAACGCTAACCGAAAATGCCATTCTCAAACAAAGCCTTAGATCTAACTGTTTAAGAAAGAGAAACTTCATTTATATCTAATTTTTTTGCACCAGAGGAGATCTAGTATCCCAATTGTCAGGTTATTTGGTTAAAATGGCTATCAAACTGGCCTTTTTTGCTTCTTATTGGAAGAATACGCTAGATAAGACAACCGAAAGATGCTTAAATAATTCGACTTCATACTTGACACTGCACTAGAGCCACATGTATTTAGTACCGAGTATTAATCTAACTGTTACAATACAGTTACTGGAATATAGAAACTCGAATCCCAAGTGCACCGTGTGAGATGCAAACTAAATCTCTATGTTATGTTGCCTGAAATTACAGAAGTGCTGAAGGAGCTCTTGAATGTATTCCCAAACTTAGTGATGACAACGGACTCGACCAATTCAACTGCCCTACACACAGCAGCCGGTCAAGGGCATGCTGAAGTGGTTGGTTTGCTTCTTGAAATTGATCCGAACCTAGCTAAGATAGCTCGGAACAACGGGAAGACTGTACTCCACACTGCAGCTAGGATGGGCCACTTGGAAGTGGTGAAGCTGCTTCTTAATAAGGACTCCAGTATTGGCTTTAGGATGGACAAGAAAGGCCAATCTGCCCTACACATGGCTGTGAAGGGCCATAATGTGGATATTGTGCTTGAGTTGATCAAACCAGATCCAACTGTAATAGCTTTAGAAGATAGCAAAGGAAATACAGCACTACATATCGCGACTAGGAAGGGACGAGCTCAGGTTTGTAATCATATAATTTAAATTATCGTCTTTCGGTGCAAGACTAGATCATGTCATCAGCTATGTTCTTTACATAAGCTCTTTCTTTCATATCTCTTCCTTAACTAACTAATTTTTGCCAGAAATTATTCTGCCTAAAACAAAGCATTCTTGTTTCCTTGCATGCCAGATTGTTCGGTGCTTACTATCCATTGAGGGTATCGACATCAATGCAGTCAACAAAGCCGGAGAAACGGCTCTTGACACTGCAGAAAAGTTTGGAACTCCAGACATTGCAGCTTTGTTAAAGGAGGCGGGGGCCACCCGTTCCAAGGACCATGCAAAGCCTCCTCCAAATGCAACGAAGCAACTCAAACAGACCGTCAGTGATATAAAGCACGATGTGCAATCACAGCTTCAACAAAGTCGTCAGACCGGCTTCCGCGTCAAGAAAATAGCAAAGAAAGTGAAGAAGCTTCACATCAGCGGCCTCAACAACGCCATAAACTCTCTCACAGTTGTGGCTGTCCTTATTGCCACTGTCGCCTTTGCTGCAATCTTCACAGTTCCAGGGCAATACGTTGAGAAACCAATGAAAGGGGTTACTCTTGGTCAGGCGAAGGTGGCAAACAAACCAGCTTTCCTAGTGTTCTTTTTGTTTGACAGCCTGGCATTATTCATCTCTATAGCCGTCGTGGTTGTTCAGACATCTGTGGTTGTGATTGAACAAAAGGCAAAGCGGCAGATGGTGTTCATCATAAACAAGCTCATGTGGGCTGCTTGTCTCTTCATCTCAGTCGCCTTCATCTCACTCACGTACGTGGTGGTTGGGGTCAAGGAGCAATGGCTTGCCATCTATTCAACAGTTGTGGGTGGAGTGATAATGTTAACCACCATTGGTTCCATGTGCTACTGTGTGATTCGTCATAGGATGGAGGAGTCAAGGATGAGGAATGTGAGGAAGACTGGGACTTTGTCACGGTCATTTTCAGCATCCATGGCAGTATCAGATACAGAGCTGTATAATGAGAACTACAAGAGGATGTATGCCGTATAACATTTTCAGATCATTGAATTCCAAAGTATAGAAAAAACCACATGAGGGGTTATCCCCATCTGGTCCATGTAGCTGTTATAAATTATAGTAACAATATGTTGGTTGAGGAAAAGCTGATTGCATAGCTTCAAAATTTCAATGAGTAAATAATACGGAGTACCAGGTTTCCATTCTAGTAGCAATGAAGCTATATGGTGCTTCCATATGCCGTGTTTTTTTCCCTTTTTTTGAGATAAGTTGTAGAACCACAACAATTTAGCCAGTGCAATATCATATATTCAAGTTAAATTCTTGCTCCTTTTCGCACGTAACTTGTAACTTTATGATTATGGGCCTGTTTGGGGGTAGTGTTAGAGGTTAGCGTTAGCATTTTGAAAAGGCTATTAACGGGCATTGTTTAGCGTTAGCATTTTCAAAATTAATATGCACCGTTAACATTTGATCTAAAACGCTAACGCTAATCGAAAACGCTATTTCCAAACGGGCCTTATATGTACAAATGTTGATCTCAATTTGCATGAACGAGTGCGTGGCAATTGAAATTTGTATGAACGGGTGGCAGATCTGCTTTTCTTGCTGATTAGAATGGTGATGTTTAGGTCTGATAAGAAGGAACATAAAGTCTATACAAAAAAATGATGACTTAGAACCCACGGTAGAGCAATTGATGTGGGATACTTAACATTATGGAAAACTTGACCAAAAAGAAAGTACAAAACAAAAAACTTGTCCTGATGTCAGCCATGAGATGGAGTGTATGGGAGTGAGTTAAGAATTGGCATTAATTGGCACAAAAAACAGATCACCAGAAATCCCCACAAGAGCACACACCACCTTTGAAATGATGGAATCTGTTTGAATCTCTGACAATAATCTCCCTACTTTCTATTTTGGATATTAACTTAATCACAGTATGACAGTCAACACAGACCCTCAGATTCTTGACAATCTGGATGGGAATGCCAGGAGACATGGCAATCAACCCGAAAGCAATAGCCAACCTTTCACTGTGCATGGATAAAATTGCAGCTTTATGTTCCTCTTCCACATCATGAAGTACCTCACTGGTATCTGGTTCATATCCAGCTTCTCTTAACCGGACACTCAATTCTTCAAGTTTCGTATATATACTCTTTGACATGGGATGGGAAACATCGCCAGCTGTGAAAGTGTACGTCTTGTTCTTGAACTCAATCCAGCTGTACCCAGTTTCTTTCTTTACTCGTCTTTGTTCCATCATATTTCTCACTCTCTCTCTTTCTTGCCAATTCCCAGTTGCAGCGTGCAGGTTGGACAGCAAGACATATGCTGCAGAGTCATGTGGCTGCAGTGATATTAGCTTCTCTGCTGCAAGTTTCCCTAAGTCCACATTTCGATGGACTCGGCATGCTGCTAAAACAGTACGCCACACGGTAGCACCAGCAGGGAAGGGCATCCCATTGATCAGTGACATTGCTTTCTCCATCATTCCAGCTCGGCCGTACAAATCCACCATGCACGAGTAGATTTCCATGGACGGAGGGATTTGCAGATCTTTTACCATAAAGTCAAAATACTTTTCACCTTCATTCACTAGCCCTGTATGTGTACAAGCAGAAATAACACCGATAAATGTTATGACATCCATTTCGACGTTCTTGGTCCTCATTTCATGAAAAACCTCTAATGCTTTCGGCGCATAACCATGCTGGGCGTATCCTATGATCATAGAGTTCCATGAAACCAAGTCTCTTTCTTTCTGTCTTTGGAAAATCGCATTTGCGCTCTCTATGCTTCCTCTTTTAGCATACATGGTAACAAGGGCACTACTTACGCATAGAGCATTATCGTATCCAAATTTAATTGATGATCCGTGAAACTGTTTTCCTTGTTCCACAGCAGATGCTGAGGTGGTGCACGCGTTAATGACACTAGAGAATGTGAATTCATTTGGGATCATCCCTTCATTTGCCAACCGGATAAAAACTTTTATAGCCCGTTCAGTATCTCCGTTTTGGGCATAACCAGCTATCATTGCAGACCGAGCAACTATGTCCTTCTCCTGAATCTTTTCAAACACTTGTGAAGCATCATCAATCCGACCTGTCTTAACATAAGCATCTAACAATGCAGTAGCCACTAAGGGCGAGCTTTCATGATTGGTCTTGATGATCTCACAATGTAATTGGGAGATAGAGATGGTGGGATGAGCGGCAAGGATGGTTGAATAGGTGAAATGGTTCGGTTTGACATTTTCCTTTCTCATTTGACAGAATAGATTTGCTGCTTCCTCTGATCTGCAATTATTCTTCAGGTATCCCCCAATCATTGCTGTCCACGAGACCACATTCCTATTCATCATAGAAGAGAACAATTTGAAGGCATCATCCATCTCACTACACTTTGCGTAACAGGCCATCAGAGCAGTTCTGATATTCTGATCGGATGCGTACTCACTCTTCATAACCCAAGAATGAAGCTGTTTTGCCAGTTCAGAATTCCTGAGATTTGAGCATAATTTAATAACCGTGACGCACGTAGCCCTAGTGTGCTTGACATGGGAAAGCCTCATCTTGCAGAACAATTCAAGAGCATCAAAATCATGTCTGTTGCTCACAAGACCGGCAATCATGGCATTCCATGAGACTTCACTTCTGGTTTCCATCATGTCAAACACGGCCTTAGCCTCATCAACCATTCCTGACCTCGAATATACACTGATTAGGGAATTCCCCACAAACAAAGTTGCATCCAAACAGCACTTGATGACCAATGCATGCAGTTGCAATCCCTTTTCGGGGGTTTCGTCACCTGCCAAAGCTCCAAAGACTGTGGCAAATGTAAACTGGTTAGGCTTGACCCCTTCCATTTGCATAAATTTGAAAGCTTGTAATGCTCTATCAATCAACCCATTGCTCGAATAACCCGTAATCAGTGTCGTCCATGTCACCACATTCGTTTCCCACATCTCATCAAACACTCTCTCCCCATCAAGGACACTTCCCGTTTTCATGTACATGTCTATAAGTGATGTCCCCACACTAACATCTGCTAAAAACCCACTTCTCACACAGTGACAGTGAATTTGTTTCCCAACAACTTGGTTAAACAAGCACCCACAAGATTTCAGCACGCAAGAAAGGCTGCACCAGTTTATCAAGAAACCAGACCGGTGAATGTCAAAAAACAGTTTTATAACCTCTACATTCAAACCACCGCTCGAGTACTCAAAAAGCAGGGAATTGTAATCATTTCTGTCTCTGTCAGGAGTTTTATCAAGCGGGTGGCGGGCATCTTGAACATGCTGGACTCCGATATCCAAATCGATGGCTTGAGAGTGATAAAAATGGTATCTTTGCAGGCGATTTTGAATATTATGATTCACGAGTTTCAGTCTTCTGAAAGATAGTCTGAGAACCATGAGCTTGTTACTTGTATACAAGAGTAGTGAAATTTAAATTCCGGGCGGGTGGCACTGGGAATATGTGCACAGCGGGAGCGGGTCGGGTTGACAGAAACTCGCGGTTATTTTACTAACCAGTAGATGGAGGAGGCGGGTACTAGTAAAAAAATGGAGTTTTTTTTGTTGTTAAATACGTAAATTATAAATTGGAGTTTTTTTTTTTGTTACAAAATGGAGTTTTTTTGCACTAAAAAATTTACTTTATTTTTATTAGTTGCAAAATTGATTATCGAGTTTTAAAGTTCTAGAATATTTCTCAACGTATTTGTGCCAAAAATATGCCGGAGAAATTCTCATGATATTGGAACCTTATGTAATTGAATGACCTGAGAGTAATCATGTGTCTTGTTCGTTAGAATTTCCGGTTTATAGTCAAAGAGCAACACTTTACCATGGTAAAGTATATTTAATTATAATGTAAATTTAACAAAATTAAAATTATTTCAAAATATATTCCGTATTATATTTTTCTAATATTTAATTATATTTAATTCATGTGTAATACGGAGTAATTTTTTTTAAAAGGGAGGGAATATTTACCTATTTCACCAAAAAAATTGAAGATCAAAGATTAATCGTATACCGTCTCCCCCTTCTGTTATTTGTTATTTCGGGGCATTCTTCCGGCGGATTTCTGACGGAGGTCTTCCGGAAAGTCTTCATCTGGTTTCTAAACTTTCCTCTCTCCGGCGGGGTTGTCCCTCTCCGCTTCCTTCATCTCCATCCCGTTTTTTTCCGGGTTCGATTGGGGAAAAATTACTCAGTAAAATACCTCACTTGAGTCCCTTCCCCTCCAGAGTAAACACTAAACTCTGCCGGAAAGCAGAAAGGCTCAAGCAAAAACAATGGGTATCATAAAAGACGGTTCAATCTCTGGAATCCTACCCGGCAGCAACAAGGTCTTCGCCGTTCACTATCCTGCTTATCCTTCATCCCTCCAACGCGCCGTAGAGACTCTGGGGGGCTCTGATGCCATTGCCAAGGTCTGTAATTTTGTACTCGATAAGTGTGTCAATGTTAATCGTATTGTTTACTTTCTTTATTCAGAGATTTATGCAGCAATTATGTCTATGTTGATGCAACTTTTTTCCATAGGCGTCCTATACTTTATCATGGTTTGGATGCTTAGATAAACATTTGTTATGACTATTCTGCTACTTGAACTGGGTTCATGTCCATTGCTAGTTACAGCTGAAAAGCCACAGTTGTTAATGGGAAGTCATATTCTTCATCTTGGTTATGGTCGAGTCAGTCTTTGGCCGTGTTGTTAGTTAATGGAAACACGGAGTTAGGGTTGGGTGGATTAGGATGAGTTTGATATGAAGTTTTCCATTGCTTGCAACAACCATTGATACTATTCTTGGAATGAGTAGAAACTCTCAATGCTTATACTTGTTTTAAAAAAACTTTGGCAACCTTGTCCCAAGTCAGAAATCACATTGGAAGTCCAAGGTGATCGCTCACCCTCAAACCCCTGAATTAGATTAGCTGTGACTCTTGCCAAGACTTTATATTGGAAGTCCATAATTTAATGTACTTGGTACGAGAGTGTGCGTAGTTGAGCGTTACCTGAATACCTATACAATGCTCTTTTTATTGTCTGGATGTGAAGTTCGTCCTCTTATTTCTTTATAGGGCACGGTTCCGTTGACACTCGCCAACGGTGACACTAGCGGTGCCATTGTACAATATATAATATACTTTCTCCATCCTATAAAAAGGTTCCACGTTTCCTTTTTTTGTTTGTCCCCAAAATAGGTTCTTTCTTTTTGATGAAGGAATTGTGTGGGTAACATACTTTCTCTTTTCTATGCACAAAACTCCACCCCACACTTTCACCTTTATTTAATAACTGTGCACAATCAATTGTGGAATTTTATTTCGGGACAGAGGGAGTATATACTTCTTCACCCCCCAAACAATGTTGAATCAGGCCGCTCTCTGCGCGAGCTAGAGATTTGTTGAATATAGTTCAACTCATTCAGAGGCTACTTACCTTTGCCTTGAAATAATTCACACGCAGCCACTAGCTTTCCCAAAATAAGGGGAGATCTGCTGCTTAGTTCTCACGGAAACATCCGACACATATACTATAGTCCTATAGTCAAATTGTCAAGTCGCTTGGCGTTCCGCCGTTCGCATATCTTCTGAGTCTCACCCCTCCCCCCCGCCCCCCATTATATATGGAACGAGTTATTACAGATTCCTGGGAAATGTAGCTACATATTTATATTGTGACTGCAGCAATAGGCTGAAACAGATGACACTAGCACTGAAAATTAACCTCAATGATTGTTTTTCATTTAGTGGTATATTGATGAATATCTGTTCAACTTTAGGCTCGCAGTTCACAGACAAACAGGTTGGAGCTCCGTTTCCGGCCTGAAGATCCGTATTCACATCCTGCTTTTGGAAAGCTTAAGCTTTCTCGAAGTTTCCTGTTAAAAATAACACGAGAGAAAGTTATGGATTCCGAAAATGCAGATACCAACTGTAGATCGTCAGAATCTTCTTCTTCAGTGGGGTTGGTTAATATTGAACAAAATGAGTCACATCCTGAATTCTCTAAAGCCTCCAAACAAGCCAATCAAACTAAAACGATATCAGCTGATTCTTGTGAACATGTTGAAGGGGGGAAAGAGGAAGCTTTGAAACCACATCTCTCTGCTGATATTGTTGCTCAAGTTGCTGAAGCCTATCATTTTAATGGTTTGAAGTTGCTTTTTTTTAATGTTATGAGTAAAATTATTAACAAATTATATCAGTGCTAATCATTCCATGGTATAATTTATATTAACAAAATGTCGGGTGCACACATATTTGTACAATTCATAAGGAATGGTAGATTATCAACATGTTATTGCTGTCCACGCTGATGTTGCTAGAAGAAAGAAGAGAAAATGGGATGAGTTGGAACCCAGCCTTGGTTAGTTTTTGTGCATGTGTGTGTAATTTTCAGAAAATTGTCATGCCAAAACATGCTTTTCCATTCTCTAACCTTATTCTTTGTGATTCTCATCTGCAGAGAAGAGCAGTCTTATAGATGTTGAGCAAGATGACCTAATGATTTTAGTACCACAACTATTCTCCATGAAGGATATGCCAGAAAATATTGTGTGAGATGTGCATATCTTCTTAAGTTTTTTTTGTTTTTTTTTGGGGGGGGGGGGGGTTGCACCGTGAAAAGATTTGAATGGCTAATTACAGAATCGAACACTACTCTACTGACCTGGGTGGCATTTACTTTTAACATGTATAAAATTTATTGGATTTTGAGCACTTGCGGAGAATTTATTTTTGTACCTTCAGGTTGAAGGCATCTGGAATTTTAAGCTCAAAAAAGAAGCAAGTAGGGGTTGTCCAACAACGTTGGGAGGTACATTAGTGTCTCTCAATAAGGATTTAATTCATTTAGGTTGCCCTTCATTTATTTACTGATTACCATAATACCATTTACCACTAATTACTTGATTACTGATTAGTATTCATTTTGCAATGAATAAATTGTTAGACTAGATGATTTGCTGGCTAGATTTTGTTAATACTCCTCTTTGAAACATCTTTATACTTCCTTTTTGGGATGTTAAAAAATTCACTTTATACTTCTCCTCTATCTCTTTTAGGAAACAAATATCTGGATGCCATTCATTCTCTCTCTTTCAAATAAATTTTAACCACACACTTTTCACTTTTCCCCATCTTTTCAATGCTTTTCTTGGTTTGCGTGAAGTCAAACTTCTTTCAAAGACAGAGGGAGTAAAGTTTATTCCATTATGTGGTGAGAGTTTACTGATTAGTCAGACCGAATTTTTTGTAATGTAATTTGTATTGATGATTCAAGACTCAAGTGATTTTCTGTTCTGTGTGTTTGTTGAAAGCCACATGGTAGGTCCCTACTAGGGTCTACGGCACATGACTTGCCCTACTCTGAAAAAAAGACTCTTATACATGTATTCATTACACCCACAATTTTTTCCGACTTATTACATGCAGAGTTTCAGATCCCCTAATGTTAGGATATTGCTATATGTTTTAAACCTGTGTGTTTAATTTGTATGTTAGAGGTATATTAGTTATTTTTATTTTTATGGTATATAAAAAGTATATTGTGCTGCCTTGTGAAAACTTTCTAAATGTTGTCCAATAAGGAAATATATACTAATGAGAATTAGTATGACGAAGGTCCCTAGGTTTAGGTGGATGTGCATTAGGTAGAAAATATAGAGTGCACCACGAGGAGATTCATGTGAGAGTGTAGAAGCCATTGAAGTAATGGAGAACTAGTTGCACGTTCACATCTGCAATGGATTAGTAACTTTTTACGATGATGAAATTGTTTTGCATATTTACCCCAAGTTTGCTCTTATTCATGTAGTCAATAAGTCATGGTTACTCTGAAATCTGGATAGACTCATAGAGACCATGTTTTTTTCACCATGGCTATTTGTGGCCAACTCTTTTCAAAGATAAAAAGTTTCTTCAGAATTTTGCTATAAGTTTGTGGCTGTAAGTGTAAAACTGTGCCGTAAAAACAAGTTCCGTAGTATATTTATTTGGTTAATTTGAGAGGGGAAAATTGTGCTTGGAGGTGAGGCTTGCTGCATCTTGAACTCCCTCCGCCATGTAAAGAAGTTGATTGACTTCAAAAACAGTGTTGGAAAGCGAAAAGTGGGTGTTTAAAATTTGTTTAGAAGAAAGAGAAATGCCCTGAGCCACATATTAAAAGCAACGGGTTGAAGTGTGAACTTTTTTTGGGACAACCTGAAAACGGGAAGTGTGAACTTTTTTGTGGATACTGGACATTACTAGTGAGATTGCTCATGACCAAAATGACGACATTTAAATTAAAACAAAAAGTAGTGTCAATCACTAAAAGGGTTAATACTCTAAAAATCACTTCTAAAAGAAACTGGAAATTTTATATTATCAGTGAAATTTTTTGATTGAACTCTTATTCAAACCATGTATTTTAGTTGTGGTTACATGCTTATATAATGCAGTTATCTTTTGTGCACCTAGTGCATAATGTTAAGCTAATTCACCTTTTACTTTCTTTCATGTAGATGGAAATAGAGCCATGTCTTGCCATTGACTTTAACAACAGAGATATCCTAATCCTAATTGCCTGTGGTGGAATGTGGGTTATTCATTTCATTCCAGATTTTTCATTTTAAAATACTATTCGACTATAATCTGTGTGCATCTAAGGTTATTACTTAAACCAAATTAGATCATGTAACATCCTTCACAGATCTACAATACATTTCTTTTGTAGTTTCTTATTACCTTTGTAGTTTTGCTTAACATTCATACATGTTCCTAAGAAAGTAAACTGGGAAAAATACATATCCAAAGGAACACAAGAATGGGAGTGGCAGAAAGCTGTATCTGAACTTTTTGATGAGCGTCCAGTTTGGGCAAAAGAGGCATTGGCTGAATGCTTACTTCAGAAAGGGATGCATTTTAGAGAAGCCATGCTGAAAAGGTGGTCTGTGTTTTAGATTATGTTATATGTACATATCAAAATTGTATGCATGCAATACATATTAGGAAAATGATTGATTTTAGAACATTCTATTTATGAGTTTGTGGATCTTGCAAGAGTTGCAGGCTTCTTTTCAGAGTAGCGTACTACTTTTCTCAAGGACCATTTCGTAGGTTGTGGATAAGAAAAGGATATGATCCTCGCACAGATCCCGAGACTCGCAAGTGAGTTATTTCCTAGATGAAATTCTAATTTGTTTTATTTTCATCATCAGTTTCTTCTTTGAGGTGGCTCAATGATTGCCTTTATGTGGTGCAACAGAGATTCTAAACATGCTATTTTCCATTATACACTTATATAGATATACTTTTAAAGGATATGTGTGTTTTAACTGACTGGTTTTTAGTATTCTATACTGCCCCTCACTATCTACAGAGTTATTTTAAAAGATTTCTTGTAACCAATATAAACTTTTAGGAGACTCCCTCCGTCAATTTGTTGTGCTTGTTTTCCTTTTTTGTCCGCCCCAATTTATTGTGTCTATTTCCATTTATCTATTTACAGAAAGCATTATGTGGTTCGTATTGTTTCTCTTCTAAGCATACATTTAAATGACACAGTGTTCACATTATTAATCTCTGTATCTGGTCAAACTTCAAAGCAGGCACAACAAATTGGACAGAGGAAGTATGTCTGTTACGTGCCTTCTGCAAACAATTACTAGTTTCTATATCTTGTAACTGAATGTTATCTTGTGTCAATCAAACACATTTCCACCTTTCAAGGCTTACGATTTTCACTGTAACAAATATGAATATTAAATTACGAGATGCTTTAGTTACTGTATGTGCTCACTATTTCCAGCAGCAGTATCTAAAGTCAATATAGTAACACTTGCTCGTGTCTCTGCTTGAACAGATTCCAAAGTATTGATTTTCGAGTACACAACCCATTGTTGCAAAGCTACTGTGAAGCTCAAGCAGAATCCGGGTACTAATGTTTATATGCATATAGATTGTCTGTAACTTGTTCTTTGAAGTTTTTTTAGCCACTCCATCTGCTTTTTAACACAGGCTTTTAAATTTGTTAAATTGCTTTTAAAGTGGTAAATATTTGAGAAGGATCTGGATAATCCAAAGGACAGAAGTGGTCCATCTAATTGTACAACGGAATAATATGGTTATCAAACTGAATAGTGCCATATCTAAACCATATTTTCTATCACTAGACTTTTATGTGGTTTTTAAGACAGATAGTTTAACCAGGCAGAATACAAAAATCTGGTCTCAGGTTGAGCATTGGATAAACTATCATGCCCTTCTTTGTTTGACCTGATACGATGTGGAATATTTGACTACCTGTTTGCAAATTTTTAAGAATAATGGGTTTGGGATTATGCTATACATTCATTTCTTTGTACAGAGTGAAGCACAGATGGAAGGATTTATGCTCATTTCAAGTTTTCCCTTCTAAGTGCCAAACATCATTGCAGCTTTGTGATCTTGTCGATGATTACATCCAAGAAGAGATCAAAAAACCACATAAGACAACGGAATGCAGTGTATGTAGCATTAAGGATTATTGTAGTAATGATGGGCTTGGTTTTTTTTAGCTTGATTTAGGTTGCTTTATGATAGATCTATCAGTTTTCTTATTTTGCTTGGCTGGCTCTTCTTCTCCCTTGTTTGCTCTACTTGTATAGTTAGCATGAGTTGAGGGTGAGATTACAGAATTTGAAACATTTGACCAGTTTATATCTGCTTAAGCTGTTATGCATGGACTTGGAATAAAAGAAAGATAAAAGTTTCATTATTAGACACACAAGCTCTCTGAAATTCTCTTCACAGTGTCTTGGAAACTATATAGAGCATGCAAATTGCAAGTGGGGGCAGTGTAGTTGGCAGCGTGTTCATTGTCCGAGAGGCCCGTTTTGTCTTGCTACATTTTTCATCAAAGTCGCTGCAACATGACGTGTTATCGAGTCCGTGACCGGTCGGACAATCTAGCGCTTTGGACCGGGTGGTTTCAAGTCCTTCCAGAAGATTTCCTTATTTATGATTGTACCTATATTAGATTGTATTTCTAATTAACAAACTCTTCTCCTTGAGAGAATTCAAATGCTACTCCGTAGTATGAATCTTTTATGCTTGAGTACTTTTCACTGAAAGTGAGCAAGTTCTCAAAGATCTTTAGCTCTTTTTCATGTTTACACTTGAATGAATCCATTCAGATTTAATTCTATTTTACAGAGTATATGATGGGCTATTCTTTTTAATGCCTCTCTCTCTCTCTCTCTCTCACCCACACACACAATACAACTTGTCTTACAGTGTCAAAGTGGATGGTTCCCCCCCAATGTTCTCGTCTCAGATTCTAACGCACGAAGATAGTCTAAACATAGACAGATGGGGTTAAGACCACGTCTTGGTAACGATTTTTTAGAGATACGGGCGAAACTTTCTAGTTTCTCTGGAGGTGGTCTTTTCCTACACTATAGATTTCTTCGTTTCCTTGTTGGTCTACAACTAGTTCCAGTCTGAAGTTACTGTCACGAAGTGATAAGCCGATTCTTCATAAACCCAACTATTATGTGCTGTCAGCTGTGTGTAGGAGTTTTAACGGATACTGTTCTATTGAGGTTCGTGTTTTTACGAACCCTGAATTGGTCACATATTTTAATACGAGAATAACAACAAATCTCAGTATTTTCCTAATCCTGTTTCTTTTTTAATCTAGCGTTTGAAATTTAGTAGCCATGGGTGATTAATTTTTGCACAACCATTGACTACCCACACCCAAGATAAATTATTTTACCCCGTAGTATAAATTAAGGCCTCCACTTTCGTTGGATCCAACTGGGTTGTTGTTGTTGAAGGCTTCCACTAATGTGGTATGTTCTGCTTATTAGCAGAAACAGGATAACCACAATCAGATGTAGCATTTTATCATGCATACCCCCACGGCCCCACCACATGCACACACACACACAGAGGCGTGTGTACATCATATATTCAATTTTGAACTATAGCATGTGTTGTGGCTATGCTAGCTTTCAGAGTTCCACTCACTCTCAGATGGTGTTTGTTATGCATCAGACATGGAAAACAATGAAGGTACCGAAGCTGATGATGAGGGTGAGGATGAGGTTGAGGATGAGTTTGAAGGACTTGACCTGGAACACAATGAAGATAACAAAGTGGATGATGGTGACGCAAATGAGGTTGAGGATGTCAATAATGATGCATTTGAAGGACTAGAGATGGTTATAGAGTTGAAAATTGCTTACTGTAATTGATGCTCCTTCATTTTCTAATGGTTCTTTTACTCTTACATTTGTAGGTTGACCATGAAGGGAATCTGTCTTCACAACATGGCTTATGTATCCTTTAAAGAGTACCACATCTAATTTAATTGTGATGATAGTTTAGAATGAAGTTTCAATTCCTGCTTAAACAATGAAATCACTGTATCAGTTGCCAAAATTTCAATGAATTGTACTTAACATGTAGATGCAGACCATGACAGCATATCGAGGACATACTTGCAAGAGCTTTTTGGTAACTTCCCTTCTAGCACGGATGGAATGAGTGAAGTGCAAGATGACCAGAGCATTGGAGAGTATGAGATCTATGAACAATATGGCAATGATGATTACTCCGAGGATGATGACTACTAAGATGTCAAAAATAGTCGGTATGGTACTTCTTTTATTTATATTAAATCAGTTTACTTACTTCTACCGTCCATTGGCCATTACCAACTGAGGGTTAAAAGATTTAATATTGACAATGTTTTAGTTTTGGGCAGTAAATGTAGTAAGGCATCTAGGGTCTGAAGGAAACCATTTCTGTGTTTTTACAGAGGTAAGGCTGCATACATCTTGACCCTTAGATCAGAACGGATTTGGGAGTATACTGGGTTGTTGTAGTTACTTGTTTACTTCTCACTGTTAAACAACTCCCTCACTTCGAGGTGGGAAGGAGGGAAGGAGGGAGGGTGTGAGTTTCAATTTTGTTTTTCTCATGTAGGCTGCCAAATTGCAAACAAGTTAACAAAAACAACCCTCTGACTGAAGTCTTACAAATGAGGTGTGGGGTGAGTGTACGCAAACCTTAAATTAAGTTAAATACTAAAAGCAGTTCTTTTAGAAGTATGATTTCATCACTTTTTACATTTGTACCTCTGAACAATCATGACTACTTTGTTTTTGGGATAAGAGGGAAGTTTTCAGCTGGGTTATGGCTCTAGGGGATTGGGGTGGGTGGTGGTGTTTGGCTTAGCATTTTAGTAGCACTTTTTCCCTAAAGACGCTTCTTTTAAGTAAAATATATGTGTGTTAGATGTTTGATGGAGCGTTTTATGTTTTAACACTGAAACCAAAAACAAGTTGTAGCCTTTTTATTTTTTTATGTTTTGTAATTTTTTGGCCGCGATTTATCTAAGAAACATATCAATTTTTTCAGTTAATTTGCACAAAATAAAAATCCAGCCAACTAATTTTTCACGCTTAGAGACAATTTTTTACCAAACAATCTAAACCCTCGATTGAAATGATGTTCTGGAACTTAATATGTACTCCCTCCATCTCCAAATTAAATTTCTAGTTTGACTTCACAGGCTTGAAGAAAATGGTGAAAGTGAACTTTTGTTGTTGGAATTTGTTTATAAGAGAAATCTTGTGTGACACATTCTTGAAAATTGTGAAGTTTATTTTGGGACGGCCAGAAAATGAAAGTGTGAATTTAGTTTGGGGGCGAAAGGGGTATATTTGTTTAGCTGAGCTTGTGGTTTACTAAAGGACATGAATTGCTCTTGTATATGGTGTTAGACCAGAAGCTCACACAGAGACAATGGAAGATGAGGTATTGAGGTGGATGGAAGAAAACTAGAAAACTTCCAAGAATATTTTTTCTTTTTTTAATTCAATTCCAACATGTCTTTCAATTACATTAATGGATCATTTTGAGTATCTTTTCAATTTATCTCTAGCTGAGTTCAGTTCGTCACTTTTCTGTTAGAATTATAATCAATTTTAAGTTCAGTTCAGCGGAACAGAACACACTCTTATTAAGAAATTACAATCAAGCCACGATGGTCTAGTGGCATGATGCCATGTATTCTAGGGTAACAACAACCCCAACAAAGTTTCAGAACAGACCTTGCTTGGAAGTAGAGAGGTTTTGCCTTGTATCCTCCGGTCGGTAAGAAAAAAAATGAAATCTATGAACCCACTCTCATAAGAGCCATATGGGCCCCCATTTTGTAGGACAATTTACTTGATGTTACTTGACTCCTATTTACGTGTCTAGATCGACCACTTTGTACATTTTTTATCGGTCCTTTTATGACATCGTTGCACACATCAAGTGATTTAGATCGTCTTCCCATCCCAGAAATGCATGGTTTTCAAACCGCTTATACCCAGTACATCCCTTAATTGCTTTGGCATCTTTTAACGTGTTTCTCTTCGTTAATCATGTACAGGTGAGGATATATAACATATGAGATGGGTGATATACAGATCATGCTTATACACCTCTTTTTTTATGCAGCCAGAGATGATGATGATGATGAGAAGCATGTCATGCCATCACATTCTAATATATGTGCACAAAATGACTCAATGTGCTTTGCCAACTTGGTGCACATATCTTCTGATTACTTAGTGAAGGTTGGATGTTAAGAATGCATCTATCTGGGTGGGCTTTACATTAATGTAATATAGATGACATAACTTGCTTGATGTAAAATTTTGGGACCATGAGAACATGTCATTTTGTTTAGGACTTTAAAATCACAAAATCTCTGTATATTTATTGATTCCATTGATTGCTTGACTGGATTTTGAATACACTTATTTCATGATTTTTGTTGTTTGCAAATGTAGAGATGAATTGCAATAACAGCCCTGCCTTTTTTGGAATACAAATAACTCTATTATAATGTAGTATCAGTTCATACATTTTAAACCCATTAAGCACATGGAGTTATTACCCTCACCGGGGATTGAACTTGTGACCTTTCATATGAGAGAATCACGACCGGGGATCGAACTTGCGGCTTGCCTTCTCTTAGTGCTCATAGGTGATTTTTTTATGAGATTCAAGCGCTAAAGATGAACTAGTTTATGCCCTTGTTTTTTTTTCGCTTATTTGATTTTAAATGCTTTAAATAAACTCTGGGCAGAAATTTACAATATCGAAATTTTAAAAGCAACCACAAAGATTCATAACCATGAAAATATAAGTGTGCAAGGCTATAATTGAGAAATGAAAAGATCTATTATCATGTATCTAAAGGTTTCTCACAAAAACTTTTATTTACTTTTCTTTTTTTAAATTAAAAATGTTTACTTAATTAATAAATAAATGCTTATTTGGCTTATATAAAAGTTAACCATGGACTTTGGTTATGTGCAAGAAATTGCCTAAGACATATAACGCTGGATGTATTTGATGAACTAAACTAATATAAGTTTTGGTTTTGCTAATATTAAGGCTCTGTTTCTTTCAATTTATTTTTTCTGATCTGATCAAATATTTTGTAGTTCTGGTCTGATCTCATCTGATTGAATTCGATCTAATCTGATTAATTATGATTTGATTTAAAATTCAAATCAATAATTTGATCTGACTTTATAATAGTTTTTGAAAATTGTAATGATAATTTATATTATAAAATAATCAATATTTTTTATTCTATGATTATTTTTTAATGAAATAAAATTAGTTAATTCATATATTAGAATAATCATTCATATTATAATGTAATAATATTTTTCATTTATATTTTATAATGTAATAACTTTAAAAACTCAAATTACAGGTAGCAATAAAAATGTATTTTAAAAGTAGAATTATATTGACATTGTCAATGTATTTTAAAAATAATTTTTCTGACATTTAATTAAGGATTACTTTTTCTGTTTTCTATTTAACTTGTTTCTAAAGTTTATTCTTTTTTATTTTTAAGAAAAAAAAATTGTGCTTCATATCATTCTATTTTTCTCTACATAAATTATAATCGAACAAAATTTTCATTTTCTTTCTTCTTATATTTTTTCAAGAGAAATTAAATTTATTTTTTGAAAGAATCATATCAAGAGAAACAAGTAAAAAATATTGAATTTAAAAAGTATGGAGTAATAACAATAATGATAATGATGATGATAATAATAATTCCTAATAATAATAATAATAATAATAATAATAATAATAATAATAATAATAATAATTCTAGATTGGATCTGATTTGATTGGATTTGATGTGAGATCTGATATGATTTTAATAAGAATAAGAAAAAAGCAAAAAAAAAATAAGTTGAACGAAACGGAACCTAAGTTTTCAAAATTAATGTTTGAGGAACAACAAAAGAGATTGAGCTTTCAATTTTAGAGGCATGCACACTCTTAGCGTTTTGACATTCATTTTTGATACATGTCGCAGATATTTTCATTTTCTTGGAAATAGCCTCCCTACTTCCGAGTACGGGGAAGGTTTGCGTACACACAACTTCCCCAGATCCTAATGTAGTGAGATTCAACTGGAATGTTGTTATTGTTTTGTACGCATCCCTCTATGCATCCGATATTATCCCTTCGCCAAATACTTAACTAAGACCAAGATATATACTTCATATTCAAGAATAGAATTTTTAGTACTCCGTACTTCGTATCATATAATATCAACACATAACATTTAAAAATATTGTCGAATGCAATAAAAATGTCAAATTGTGATGTTTCACAATGCCAATACTCCTATTTAGATTATAAAAATATGGAAAACTTTATTTTGTTATAAATTTCATTTTTTTAACAAAATTTGAAAAAAAAGAGACTTGAATGGTCTTTGGAAAAATATTTGAAGTAAATGAGATTGTACTTTATTTTTGGAAATAAAAAAAGGAAAAGCAAACTTGAACTTCAATGCCGGAGGCTAGGGTGTAAACGAACCGAATCGAAGCGAATACCGATATATTTGAATATGTATTTGTTTAATTTTTTCGAATATGAATCCGAATCCGAATATGAGACGAATTCAAAATAAGATTTGAATAAGTATTTGATTAATATTCGAATAGTTATCGAATCATAAACGAATATTTGAATAATCATACTATGTAATTTATATGATGGACCAATATCAATTTGTAATTTAACTTATGATACTCTTTATACTATACTATATTCCGTATATAAAAACATTAATACATTTGCATCTTACACAAATTATATTTTATAAAATATAACTATTAAAAATCATATGCTTTAGATTTTTGTGTTACATACTTACATTAATTTATTGAATTCTTAGTATTTTAAATACACTTTATACTATATTACTTTGCTTGACTTTTGATGTTGAAAACATGGTTGTGTATATATACATATATTCGAATATCATCCGAATCGAATATATCCCTATTTGTATTTGTATTTGATTAATATTCGAATCAAAAATAATATTTGAATTTGAATTTATATTTGAATAACGCAAATTCAAATCATCATATTCGAATACAAATCGCAAATCGAATTTAAAATATTTGATTTGTTAAGGCAGTGAATATTTCGTTGATGCTCTTCTCTGTAAATACCCATAATCACTTTCCCGGACTCGGAGACTTTCTGCTTTTCCGCCGGCGTGGATCACAAGAGCCCATAAGAGCACAAGTCCACTCCCAGCCATCGTCTACGCTGTAATGAAATACGGTAGAACAACCTAATTGTTGATTGCCGATTTTCTTCATCAGATTATTAGCATATTAGCGTCCGATTCGCACTGCAATTTTCTATTGCAATTTCTAATTTTATTGTGCAGTTTGCAGTCTGATCTGAGGATTTAGTATAGAAGTTGCATAACTCAATAATATAATTCTTTTTTCCTGCCAAAAAAGTTGAAATTTGCGGAGTATATCTTTGTGTTTTGCTTGTCATCCCGTGAAATTTGTGGGGAACCAAGACACCCTCATTCGGAGTGTTTCATTGCATTACTATTTTTTCTGAATTAATTTTTTTTCTTTTCACCAAACCCTAATTAAAGGAACTCGGTTCCTTAGTTGAGTGAAGTCATTCCTCTTTTGCTCACTAAACACAACCTAAAACAATGTGAAGAATGAAAAAAGTTAGAACGAATTAGAAATTCAGCATCAGCTTAATTATTATCATAAGTGTAATTAAATCATTTAATTACCTGTTGTTCATCCTTTGCCTGTTGCTTCTTTTTCTCAACTTCAAATCACCAATACGCAATACACACTGAGGAGAGAGGTATTCACCATAGAGTTTTGTGGTGGGGTTTTCAAATATTACAGTGATATATACATCTCTTGTTAATTGTATTTTTTTTTTTGAATTTTCAGAATGGGTAATATATTCGCGAAGAAACCTAAGATCACAGAGGTTGATAAAGCAATCCTTTCTCTGAAGACCCAGAGGCGCAAGCTTGCTCAGTATCAGCGGCAGGTACCCTTTAATTTTAGTTCAAAAGAACGCTTTTTATTGGTTACACTCTGCTTTTTTGAAGATTTTAACTTTGCTGTGATTGGAATCAACCAAATTTTTTCAAATATACGTAGTATAATTCTAAGTAAATCTTTCAGCTGGAGAATGTTATTGACGCCGAAAAACAAGCTGCAAAGGACTTACTCCGTGAAAAGAAAAAGGATAGGGCTCTATTAGCTCTGAAAAAGAAGAAGGCGCAAGAGGAATTACTGAAGCAAGTTGATGCTTGGCTGATAAATGTTGAGCAACAAGTAATTACACTCACTTCCATTGGAAATACGTTGTATATTCTTCAAAGTGTTATTGCTTCACCATTTATTTAGATCTATGAGTTAAAGTATCAATATGGCTCAGTTGGCAGATATTGAGTTAACTAGCAAGCAAAAAGCTGTGTTTGAGAGTCTGAAAACAGGCAATAATGCAATTAAAGCAATACAAAGTGAGATTAATCTTGAAGATGTCCAAAAATTAATGGATGATACTGCAGAGGCTAAAGCTTATCAAGATGTAAGCTTCCTTTCATTCTTTTTGTTTTGTTTTATGATGCCTGTCAGATATTATCGATCTAAAACATGCGAATAAATAAGAAATAGTTAACATTCAAATAAAAACTACTACTGCAACTGAGTGTGGGATACTCTTCATTTATTGAAAGTGGTCTGTGGGCATCATCGGGTACTTTAAAACACATGCTTATCAATGGAATTGGCCAAACAATGACTGTGAATTGTTTATTTGATGAGCATTCAATGGAAAAAATTATTTGTTTTCCGTAGGAGATTTCTAATTCTTTTGTTGTTTTGGTTGTTGTTGAGTTGGGGTACAATTGTACCCTTTTTTTTACCCCATTCTATGGTACTCGGGATCAAATCTTATTACTATTCCTGACATTTTTAGAACATGCTACCAAGTACCCCCACCTTTTGATTTCATTCTCCCACTTTTAATTCTTTGGTCTGACCAGACATATTTGGGAGATTGCTCTCTCTAATATTTTCCTTCTATTATTCTATTTGTGTTGGTTTTTGTAGGAGATCAGTGCAATCTTGGGGGAGAAGCTATCAGCTGAAGATGAAGAGGAAATTCTATTAGAGTTCGAGAATCTAGAATCTCAGGTTCGTTCGCTTTATAAACAGCATATACTAGAAGTTAACCGAGTACTGATTTCTTTCCATTTTTTCTTATTCATTGGCTGGTATACTGGCTCTCATGATACATTAGGGTGTCACTTTTTTCTCTTGTTATAATTTCAAAAAACACATCATTGTCTCTTTGGTGCTGGTTTTGATTTATCCTTTGAAACAAACTGTGGATTAAGAGCAGTTATTATTGACATGAAATTTTATTTGTTTTCTTCTTGTATAGATGATTGATCAAGAACTGCCCAATGTTCCCGCTTCATTACCATCTGAGGAGAAAGAAGAGAAATTGGATCTCCCTGATGTACCAAAGAAAGCGCCAGTCATTTCTGAGTCAGATGATGCATTAACTGCAGTTCCCGAGAAGAAGAAAGGTCTCCCTCTTTCTCTCTAAATCTTTTCTTAATCCCATACATACACCCATTACATTAATAATTTCTACAAGTGGATCCGTGTATCCTCATAATCTAAAGTTCTGCAGTTATGGAGGAACCGTTGCCTGCTTGAAGTGAACCAGTCTCACAGGCAATCAGGCATTCTTCTTGAAGCAGCCACACCCGCTAAAATGTGTATTGTATTTCATTGGTGTGCTTTAGTATATTCATTTTAGCATAAGCGGATGGATTCCGTTATCAGATCTGTACACCGGAATTTGCACTCTTTGTCTGCGTCCATGACTGATTGAAAAATACAATTGTATACTTGTGTGTAAAACCAATTCTTTGTTTTATCGTCAAACTCGAATACTACCTCTCTCCCAAATAATTTTTTTGTGTTCGACTTTCCTGTTTAATAAAATTGTTGAAAACGGGTTTAGAAGAGAAACGTTCCGAGATCATTGATTCTTTTCTCCGAAAGGAAAGTGATTTTTTTTGGACAAATGAAAAAGGAGTATATGTATTGGTTTTACTTCTAGCTTCAGCCTTTGGGCTCTTCACCATAGCACATTTTCTGACAATTGAGAGATGCATCTTTCTAGTGATCATTGCCTGCTAGAAGTGATACAAATACATTTTCTTGAATTCCTTATTTGGCTCAACTTCATTAAGAACAGAAGACTCAACTAAAACAAAGTCAACGCTGTCATTCCATATACTCCCCTTTCATGCACAAATGATACTCCCTATTACAACGTCAAGACCAGATAAGAACATTTTCTCTCAGGGTTCGTTTGGAAATCAAGAAAGTAAATTCAAAAAAATAACTTTTGGAAAGTCATTTTTTTTAAAACATTTCTCTTTTTTAGTATTTGGCTCAAAGTCTGAGAATGAAATAGAATGAAAAAGTAAGACTGTAGCCTTATTCTCAACACTAGAACAAGGTAGTATAACCAAAAATCAACTCCCAAATCTTCCTGGTTGAATTATAGAAGACCTGGAGGGCGTTGGCGTACAATGTTACAAACTCAGTACACTTTGGTTCCCATGACATTGAACAATATTACAAATTTTGACTCCACAGTCAACTAAATTTTGTGGCATGCAACTGACGAGGGTGCGGGGTATTTTCGGGCCGGGCCGGGGGTGGAGGATTTATCGAGGGATTAGAGGGGGTAGGAACCATCATTTTCGAACGGAGCATCGTAGATGCCCTAGTCGGGGCTCATGTCATAGGATCACATGGAGAGTTCATGTCACCCGTACCGCTATTGCATATTTCTCCAACAATAAAGGCGTTTGGTCCTAAAGTAAATTACTTATTTGGTTCAACTTCATAGAGAACAATTGAGATTGAAACATAAAACAAAGTCAATAGAGCCATTCCATAAACTCCCCTTCCCACCACAAATAAATATACTCAACCATTTAACAAATGAACAAAAGGGGCCAATTTTCCCTCTCTCCCAATTGAGTATGGCTCTACTCCATCTAAACCTGTCCAAGCAGGTAACATTTTTTTTCTATAAATAAATCTGATGATCTACAAAGGAACAGGTGACAATTTTCTCCAGCAAAATATCGAATCTTCTCGATTAGTCAAGGTAAAAGAGAGAGACGATTTTCCTCATGTCTTTAGCTTCTTGACAAGTCTCCATTAGCAATCTGCTATCATGGAAGGCAAAGCAAATGACTTGCTGTACTTGTGAGATGATGTCCAAGTTACATAGCCTGCACAACAAAGAAGCTCGCCGAGTCATATATAACAACCGTATCCATTTTGGATGTTCAAACAGTCGAGTCGAAACATTTGTATCTTCTCTTCCTCAACCAATGATGAAAAAATGAAACACGCAAAAGAAGACTGACAATTACCTGCCGGCTTCTATCAATGTGAGATGGTCATTGTAAGGTTTCTCTGTAACATTTTTCACCTGTAAATGTAAGAATAACTTCACCAAGGGTATGTTTGTATCCCGGACAATGCAATGGGGTGAATCGAAGAAGCCAAGAAAAGTTTTTATTTTTGGTTTTACATTTGAAAAAGAAAATATGATTTTTTTTATTTTTAGCATAAATTTATACTTGGAAACCGCCTCTCTACTTTCAAGTAGGGGTAACCGGAGAAGCCAGGGAATGTTTTTTTTTTTTTGGTTTTACATTTGGGAGAGAAAATATGATTATTTTTATTTTTTAACATGAATTTATATTTGGAAACCGCCTCTCTACTTTCAAGTCTGAGTACAATCACTCTCCCCAAACCCTATTTTGTGTGGTATTTACTGGGTTTGTTGTTGTGCTTAACATAATCATATAAACATAAATAAATAAATACTTTCCTTCACATTTTCTCCCATAATTTACTCTTATATTTGTTCCTTCATATTCTCTCTAGTAATTTCCCGGCACCAAATGGACCCTTAACACACATATTGAAAGAGCTAAGAAACTACTAGTCCACTACCAAAGGAGGGGTGTTCTCAACCACATTTTCATTAATGGCAGGAAATAAAAGTAAGACAGCTCTTACTTTAGACAGCAACTCTTGGCTTTCGGGCGGCTGCTTGCTCAGACTTTGTGGCAATATGACAGTCAGCAGTTCCGGTTTCTCAGCACGGAGCGCACCTCTAATAACTGCAGCATTGGTCCCTGAGGCACCCGATGTAAAAATATGGTTTTTCTGGAGGAAAATGAATACCCCAAAAAAAATCACAACCAGAAAGTAAAACAAAAAAAGGTTTAGAAACCATGAAAATGTACAATATTCACCACTAATTAAATCAACCCCATCATAATACCGTTATAACCAGAGCATAGCTAAGAATCTCAACAAGTTCTTGATGCATGAATCCCATATTCCGAGTTCCAAAAAAACCAATATTTCTTGGACCTTGTTGTTGTATTGCTAATAGCTCCTGCCAGACAACAAGTCTTTGTTTAAGCGAGTTCACCAAGCTAGTTACAAATTTAGGAAGAGAGGATAATGACATACCTGTAAATAATCCACATCAGGAACTGGCTTGTATTCTGCAACCAGAACTGCACCAGGCCCATCAACAACAGATTGGGCTTGGGTTGGAATTTGAGCAGAAACTTCTGCATCCGACCCAAACATCTGAGTTGTTGCATATTCATCTTCATTCGTTACACCACTGTTACTTCTTAGAGCTCTCTTATCATCTCCATGAAGCCACTATACCAGCACATAGAAAACAGAATCCCCTGGCAGTAAATCATTTATGAAAACCCAAAAGATGCATATAAAGAGAAGATTTGCAGCAGCCAGTAGGTTCTCTTTTGCATGGAAAACTAAATACTTTGAATTTTGAAAAGGAACCGACACCGAAACTTAGATTAGGAATCAAATGAACTTTGATATACTATGACCACAAGCTTGAATATAAATTCCTTAACATTCAATGCACAACTTTTTAAGGGAAAAAAGATACTCCAAACAAAATTTGCATTGATTAGGAAATTTATAGGCAATTTTGTTCTGCACAAACAAAATGAGGATATGCAATAATGAAAGATTACATTTGCAATAAAGTTTCCTACACTACAACAAAAAAAATCAATTCTAGACACTTAATCCTACATGCTTGAGGGTAGCGTTGCACCCTCATTAGAAGAAAATAAGTTCAAGACGTTTATCAAAGCCCAGCGGTACACGCACACTTTTAAGCATCAAGAATATATCAATATTTTTTATATTGCGTCTGGCCAATTGTAGACCACTCTTTTAATATCCTTAACCTTTTCTCTTTCAGTTCTTCTTATCTATTCGTTTCTTCATCATTTCTTTTCTCTAGATCTATTAATTATCTTTGCATTTTCTTTCCATATAAGAATTAAAAAATCAATCTCATACGCCAATGGAAACAAATCAAGTAAGGTGATGTGAAGCGAATGCCGTCGCTAAGACTATCATCTGCATCTCCACTGCTCATCAGAAAAATGTGAGTTTAGATCTACAATTCTTATAACCAAATTCATTACGAAATATGTCCCAATCTATTTTCAAAATAAGTAATGGGAAGAAACATACTCTAGATCTAAAAAAGGTTATTGGAACACCGAACACGATATGTTCATCGTTATAACAAGTATAGCTAGATCTGGAACACAGTTCTTAATTTTTTTAGCAATATATGCTTATGCATATTATATAGCTGATTTTGATTTTATTTCTGTCGGCGATTTGGCACATAAATTGAGCTCTACAAACCTTATTCCGTAGAACACACTTCACCAAAGTCATTTTGAAGATGAAACTTAGTTTATCATCAGATTTTTTATTTTTATGATTATTCTACATAAAGAGTTCATGGTGTTGCAGATTTTTTTGTACTTAGAATTAGGGAGATGACATTTCATATTGAATATACAGAGTACTAGCTAGAGTTGTGTAACGCGCAAGCTGTATACGGAGTAATTTTTTTTGTCATCTCCAAGCTGTATAATTAAATGTGCCGAATTGAATTTTTTTACTCCCTCCCATATCTTTCTTCTCACTTTCCTTTTTGGGTTGTCCCATATCTTTCTTCCCGTTTCCTGAAATGGGAAAAAAATTAATTGTTAAAGACTATTTTACCCTTGTAAAATACGGAATACACTCAATGGACCCTTCCTAATCTCTGCCGTCAGCCATCTTCTCTGTTTCTTCTTTCATGGAGCAGCGATTCAAAGAGGGAGAGTCGCAGATGGTGGCGATACACAAAGCCCGGGCTGGATTTCAAACCCTAAACCCCTGCTCTGGTTTCTGATGGTGTGCAGCCACAGAGCAAAGGAAGAAGTTTATTCGTTCCTTCAATTTTTTATAAGCAAATCAAACAATTTATCCGTTCCTTAAGGGTGTCTTTTCTTTCTCTTTTGAAGGTGAGATATAAATTTACTTTGGGGTTGTTTTTTGTTTCTTTGAGGTGGATCTGAGCTTGGGGTGAGGTTCTTCTTATCTATCAGAACAAAATTGGGGATTTTGTTTTTCTTTGGATTGACCTCTTTTTGGGAATTTTAAGCTTCAAATCTGGGAATCCAGTTTTATTCATATCTCGTCACTTTTATTCATAAGCAGATTTGTTTGTAGGTCCGCAATTTGTTTTGAGATCCATTTATATTTCTTTGATTTTCTCTTCGAATTTCATTTCTTGAATGTGATGAGATCGATTTTGATTTCATGTTGTTTTTTGATTTTTATTTTGAAGAAGAAAAGACTAGAATTGTGGTGAAAGCGCAAGTTTGAGGTCAACAAAGATTTGTGGTGAAGAAGAAGAATGGAGAGCTGGGCAGTAGGTGGAAAGCACAGGTTTGAGGTCGACAAAGAGGAGACGAGGGCAGTAGGTGAAAGGGAAAAATAGGAAAGTCAATACATATTACATTTAACATTAAAAACCATGCCAAGTCAGTACGGGAAGAAACATATGGGACGGAGGGAGTAATCTATTTTGCTAAGTGTTTTTACTTAAATTTATAAAAAAACAAAAATATAAACACAAAATGTGCCGATTTTTATATAAAACCAATTTCTATAGTCAGCTGTTATAAGATGAGAAAAAGTAGACATTTGCAAATTTCTAAGTGTCAAGCTTGATTCTAGACACACGAATTCCTGGCATCTCACCAAAGTGTGTAAATTGTTGTTTTTACTCACTAGAAACGGTCTAGATTCTACCAAATAAATGTCAAGAGTCGGCTCTTTTCTTGTAGTGCTATCAATTGTGTAACTGTAGATATGAGATCACACACAGGTTCATTTCCTGGTTTATACAAAGTGCTGAGCTTTATGGAAGAACGCTTCTGGAAAAGGTGGAATATATGCATACTTCCACTCATGGAAATAATATACTCCGTATTCACTTTTTAGGATAAAACATAGAGAACTAAAAAGGTCAAAGGTGTGGCAGGTGGTAAAGTAGTTGCCGCCGAGTGGCAAGGTGAAGATGAAACAAGCTTACTAGTGATTCTGAGATAGGTTACATATTGACATGATAGGAAGATGATAAGAGCCTAACTGTGATTCCTTGAAGAGCAAAGGGTGAAGGGTTCCTTACTTCCTTTAGAATGTGGAAAATACTAGGAAATAGTAATTCTTTGCAGGAAAGAAAATCATGGAAGAAAATAGGAATGTAAGAAAACGGGGGTAAGGGACTAAGGATAAAACTATATACTAGTAATATATTCAATGATTCTCATTCTGTTTATTTATTTAGTTTTGTTATATATTCCCTCTTTCCCTAAATACAAACCCACTTCGACCAAGCTTGTCCCCAAAATGAAAACAATGTGATTGAGATTTATTTAGGGCCACAGACGGAGATAAACAATATGAATCGCATAACGTTTCTTGAAAAGGAACAGGGGGGGGATTATTTTGGGACGGAGAGAAAGAGCGTGAAGATTAAGAAATGGAATAAACGTAAATGTAAATATAAAATGGGTAATCAAAGTCCATTTTCCAAGGTAAAACCTAAACTAAGATAGAAACCAATGGATTGGCAACGAGAAGAAAGACAGATACAATCCATGACTGGAAAAACATATATCAAGCACACTTAATCAATCAATCTAGTTTGATGCCATTGGCATCAAGCAGAGAAAAAAAATACTGGGCAACAAGCAATCAGTCCAACTAGCTGCTAATTGTCTGAAATTCAGCATCAACATGGAAAAGGGGTGCCTCAAAAGTCAAAACAATTGCCCTACTTATCTCAGGCCACATGAACTCAACTGAAAATCAGGTCAATTTTATTTCTTCTTTTCTTGATCTACCAAACCCAGAACACGAAAAGAAGAAAGGAAAAGAACACACAATCTTAATAAACTATGAAGAAAGATGCGAAGGGGAGTGAAGAGAAGGGGAGAAACATACCGCATGCGTCCGATTAGACGACGCCCGTGGCGAATCGCGACTCCTGAGAGCTGAAGAAGCGGAACAAGAAGACAGAAGCTGGGCTGGAGAGTAGTGATTGAGCGACAAATGGACAGTTTTGGAGAAATTTTGAGGAAGAGGGGACACAGACAGCCTTAATCCCAGCGAAGAACTGCCCATTCTTTCTCCGGTTCTTGTCTTCCTGAGCTGCAAACAAACCCACGTACAGGGGAGGCGGATGTTTGATTCTTTATTTAGTATTACAGTGCTAACGGAGGAATTTTCCTCTACTGTGTGTGAATTTGGCCCCCCTTTTTCAATTTGCTTTTTGCCACAAATGACAAACCCACGTACAGGGGAGGCGGAAAAGGTAGAAAAAGGGATTTTTTTTGCAAAATTATTTTTAGAAAGGTTCAGTTACTTTTTCTAGTGTTATTGACTCTATTGAATCGATAATACATTATTGATTCAAATTATTTTTAATCTAATGATGCACAAAGAGTCAATGTCCCGCCTCCGCTTTGTTGGAGCTCGAACTTGAATGAACATTTTCATGAATCTTGTAGAGTGTGCATTCTACTACTCAAGTCAAGAAAAAAGTTCGAAAGATTTCATTACTACAACAAAGAACAAATGAAATCTTGGAGAGTAGAGTCCCAAAACTACAATAAGACTCAACACACCGAACTAATGTATGAGCAATAACATTAAAATTACGTCTAAAAACAAAAATAGAAACAAAATGAAAGTCAGTCGATATATATTTGCAGTCATCAATAAGAGCAACAAATTAGGAAGAAGACGAAAAAGACTCATGGGTTGGATTGCTTACCATCATCATGCAAGTTGAAAAAAGTTCAACCTCTCTCACGCCTCTCACTATTTGTTATTTTATGCCAAAGCCTCCCTACACGCCATTACTTCATAAGTATTTCTCAACCTTTTTTGCTTTGAGCAAAAAAAAAATAAGTTTCAAATATAGACTGTATAACCTACTACTTTTCCAGAAGAAAAAAAATGTTTTGACTTCTTTGGTCAAAATAGGAAAAGAAATTTGAGACGAAAGGGGTAATTTCTATTTTAAGTCTTATACTCCTTTCCAAAACAAGCATAAGGCCCCGTTTGGTACACGGAATTCAAACCAAGAAATTGGAATTGAGGACTTCAATTCCAATTCTGGTGTTTGCTAGCACAAAAATTATGTGAATTTGGAATTGATAGTGCAAAAAATGAATTGGAATTGGCAGAATTCAATTCTATGGAATTGAATCTCATGGAATTTCAATTCCAATTCAATTCTAATTCCATCAATTCCGTATACCAAGCGGACCCTAACACTATGTTTGGCTCAAGGATTTTAGAAGGAAAAGAAAAGAAAATGGTTTTCTCTCGTTTTTCTCACCAAAATGGAAGCAATTTGGTTTTCCCTCCACTTGGTACATTTTGCCTCCTCATTTTCTTTTCCTTCCACTTTTCCTTTCTTTTCCCATCTAACCAAACAAGAAAAATAGTTTTCCACTTCATTTTCTTTTCTTTTCCCTTTCAAATTCCTTGAACCAAACATAGTGTAAGTGTTTTTTAGTAAAAGAATTTGTATCATCAACATTGTTTCTTTTTTATTAAGAGATATTGTTTTTTTAATGTTATTGATTCTATTACAATGTAATATTTGTTTATACTATTCTCAACCTATTGACGCACATAGAGGCACACCTTTACCTTTGCTGGGACTCGAACCCGAGTGAATTTTCCTATGACTTTGAGAAGTGGATTTCCTACCACTCAAGTAGAGACATTGTTTCTTTAATTTCTAAAGAAAAAATAAATAACAAAATTTATGTTTTTTATTTGAAATTCATTTTGAGACATATGAAGTACGTAGTAGTTAATGTGAACTAAAAAAAATCAAATCCCTTCCCCTTTACATCAATCCCACATAATGGCAAGCCAAATGCAACAATAGAAATTGTCCCAAAAGAGATCCACAAACACAGTCACAATAATCAATCAATGCACAGAAGAAGAGCAGCAAGCAAATGGAACCCAGTATGTCTTCCCTTTCTTCCTTTCCTTCTTGATATCAACTGATGGACGATACCGTGCCGGGGAATCCCATTCTTTATCCACCTCCTTCTGGCCCTCCTCTGACATTAGAATTGAATTCACCGTGGTGGTGGTGACTTTGGAAGAAGCAGTGGCAGTTTCGTCTTTTTTAGGCGATTTGGCCTCCCCCAGCAGGTTTTTCAAGGGAGTGTGTTGTTGTTTCCAGTTTGTGACTTTGGCAATTCTCTCCTCCTCATTCTTCGTCCTGCCTTGCTGGGACTCTTCATTCCCAACAGCAGCCTTCATGGCAGCAGCGGCTTCATCAGATGGATCTTTGTGCACGTTCTGGTCAACAATGTCGTCGAATGTGTGAGGGTCTCTTTCAGCTTGTAATGTTGTCTCCTGCAAGCTGGGCTTCTCCTGTGCTCCTCCATCAACGTGCAGGGTTGACTCTGAGTGGATAGAAAGCACAGGTTTCATTCATTCGTTCACCATAATGGCCGTACAATCAGTTGATATTGTATGAAACAATGACATGATGGGCTCTTGCAAGATAACTTATTTTCTTGACTAGATGAAGGCACTGCACACTAATCCCTAAACCATTGTTTCTTTTTTTGGTGTGTGTGTGTGTGTGAGAGAGAGAGTGTGTGTGTGTGTGTGTGTGTGTGCGCAAGATAGTACCTGAAACAGATCCCCAGTTGGCTTCCAAGCTATCAGTTCTGCTACTTGATGCAACTGATTTATCAACTACAGTGGCACCACCATCTTGCTGCTTCCCGGTTTTGTCATCATCATCTTCACCCTTTTTTACAGGAGGAAGAGAACTAACCTCAAGAGCTCTTTTAGCATCTACCACCACATCATTGTTTCCCAAATTCATGTCGCGGTCACGAGGAATTGAAGAAGCTTCTATCACACTCCCATCTTTTCTTTCATCAATCTCATCTGCACTGGTTGATTCTACTACCGCTGTTGAAGAATCATGCATCGGTTCTGTGTTTCCCATATCGTCGTTTGCAGCAACTTTTTCTCTGTGCTCACTCCCAGCTATCTGTGTGTCAGCAGAACGCTGATCCGGCAAATAATCTTTGCTGCTCTCACTTTCAGCAGTAGAAGTCAGTTTTGTTTTATCTATTCCACATTCATAAATGATTTCACTTCCTCCAGATATAATAGCTTGCTTGTCTTCCTCGCAAACACGAGGAGCAATAGAATTATCATCTGAGCCGTCTAGTGGCTTGCACTGCAAAGATTCATCCTCCATAGGCAAACTATTAGTTGGCTCAAAGTTCAATATCTGTGGCTCCAAGGTAGATGTCGCAGGTCCTGATCCACAAGATCCAAAATGCTCATCTTTTATCACCATCGATCCATATGAATGAAAACTTTCCTCAATGGGATTCTTAATATCATCTGCCTTGGCATCTAAGATTGTGGGAATAGATTGTGTAACTTCCTCTCTCAAATGACTTTCTGAAGACTCGTCCTCCATAGAAAGACTGACAGTTGGTTCCATAGTTAATGCAAGACTGACAGTTGGTTCCATAGTTAATGCAGGTGACTCCGGAGTACCTGTAGCAGATACCAATCCATAAGATTCAAGCTGTTCGTTGTTTATCACCTCTGATCCATCCATATCATTTTCCCCCTCAGCCAGAACTTTGTCACCATCTTTCCTAATCTCATCTCCCGAAGCATCCAAGATTGTTGGAGGCCCAAGTAGGTGCTGGTCAGGCTCACAAGCATCCATTATGAACTGATCATTATCCTCTAGAGTGCTTTTATCATCATCTTGTGTAGAGCTAAGTGGTTCAATACTGGTGTCCATGTCAAGTGCAATAGTGGACTTTAAAGATCCCCAATCTTTGTGATCTTGAGAATAGTTTATGGATGATATGCTTTCATCCACAGATAGCATATGCACATCTTTATCTCCTACAAACTCATATTGGCTTTTGTCCTCTGTACCCATATCATGCATGGTAGTAGAATCTTGAAGAAAGACATCACTGCTCTCATTTTCAGCAGAAAAAGACATCTTTGTTTTATCTATTCCACAATCATAAATAATTTCACTTCCTTTAGATATAATATTGTCTTCCTCGCAAACATGAGGAGCAGAAGAATTATCATCTGAGCCGCCCAGGGGCTTGCATTGCGAAGATTCATCCTCCATAGGCAAACTATTAGCTGGCTCAAAGTTTGATATCGGTGATTCCAAAGTAGATGTAGCAGGCCCTGATCCACAAGATCCAAAAATCTCATCATTTATCACCTTTGATCCATATGAATGAGAACTTTCCTCAATGGGATTCTTAATATCATCTGCCTTGGCATCTAAGATTGTGGGAATAGATTGTCTAACATCCTCTCTCAAATGACTTTCTGAAGACTTGTCCTCCATAGAAAGACTAATAGTTGGTTCCATAGTTAACGCAGGTGACTCCGGAGTAGCTGTAGCAGATACCAATCCATAAGATTCAAAATGTTCATCATTTATCAACTCTGATCCACCCATATCATTTTTCCCATCAGCCAGAACTTCACCACCATCTTTCGTAATGTCATCTCCCAAAGCATCCAAGATTGTTGGAGGCCCAACTAGTTGCTGGTCAGGCTTACCTGCATCCATTACGAACTGATCATTACCCTCTAGAGTGGTTTTATCCTCATCTTCTGTAGAGCTAAGTAGTTCAATACTGGTGTCCATGCCAAGTGCAATACTGGACTTTAAAGACCCGTGATCTTTGTGATCTTGAGAATAGTTTAAAGATGATATGCCTTCAACCACGGATAGCATATGCACATCTTTATCTCCAACAGACTCATATTGGTTTTTGTCATCAGTGCTCATACCATGCATTCTAGTAGTAGAATCTTGAAGAAAGTCATCACTTTCTTCACCAACCTCTAAGTTTCTACATACATTCTTGCTCAGGCTACTATTCTCTTTATCTCCCTCTTGCAGTACTTCATCAACTGGAGCATCGACGATATTAGCATGTTCAATCTCTTTTGCACAAATATCTAGATGTCTATCATCGCTCAATGGGGCATTGTCAGTTGTTTCTTTCTCATCCTCCACGGTCAAAACCGCTAGAGTCTTGGATTCTGTTGATTCCAGTTGTTGACCTTTTGTTTCGTCAAGCCCAATAGTACTTTCTTTAGATGTTGATCCGAGCAGAATTGAAACATCCGGTGACTTCATTTCACTTTCCACCTGTTGAAGATCTCCTATTTGGAGTGTCCTTGATGGATCATCAACTGGTTTAAAAGCAAATGGTTTTAATAAGGTAAGTTCTTCTATATATTGGACAGTTTACATGGGGAAAAACAACCAAACCACCCTAAGGTAATATAGATGTATTCGAAATTGCTACAACAAATGTTAATAATACTCCGTATAATACAAAGAAAAATGCTACTTTAAAACCAGGGATGACACCAAGGTTGAAACATTGTCGGTAAACACTGACAGCGTCATTCTTGGTGTCATGATGGTACTGTAGCATGACCCATACTCTCCGTACAAAACATGGAATAATAATTATGACACATTTTCAAGCCTGCAAGATATTAAAGATGCAAATTTCATGGCAATAACTTCCCGTAATATCATCAAGTCGAAAAGGGAAATCCTACATCACATGACAACAACGAATCTCGTCAAATTCTTACCAATAGTAGCATCAACCTTGAGCAATCCATCGCCCTCCTCCTCAAACTTCTCCACATCCCTAACCAACTTCCGAGCAACCTCGGAACCCTCATCCATTCCGGGACTAAGTCCACTATCAGAGAACTCTGCCATAGCATCGGAGAAATGCTCGTCTTCTGATCTAGTAGCAGACTGGCAGCTGCCTGCAACCTCCTTCAAACTTTTGCCTTCAATCTTAGGACCTTATATAAACACAACCAAATTCAGAAACCCCCCAAAAAGCAAAACAACAGAAACTGGTTGTTTATTTATGAACACACAACAGGTAAATCATACTTGGGGTCCGACCCTCGCCGGATAGTGGTTGTTCTTCTTCCTCTGAAATTGCCAAAGGGGTAAGTTCGGGTTGAATGACCTTGTACCCATCAATGGTTCCACATACCTTCTTATGGGCTCTCCTGTGTTTAGCGCTGGGGTGTGGATTCGGGAAAGGCCACCCACATTTACTGCACAAGTAAACCCCATGTCCTGAAAATTTTCAAGAAATCAAAATCCCCTCATTTCAAATCTATCAGACCCCAATATTATAAAAAGAACACTATTTTCCATCATAATTTCATCACCCCAGTACACCACGACTAAAATTCAGCAAGAACAGAAATGATATGCTTCCAGTGGAAACCCCAGTCGGAAAAGAGAGGAATTAATGAACGGCGCAAACAGACCTGACGATATCGGAGCTCTGTGATCTTGGTTCTCCATGTTCTTTCAAGAAAACATATAGAGAAGGCGAGCAATGCGGAGTCTATTGACAGTGAAGGGAAATAAAATGGAGTGCGAGGCCGAGGGGCGAGGGTTCTGATTGGAGGTTGTTGGCAAGAAAGACAGAAAGAGCTGGAAATTGCACAATCATTAGAAGTAAATTGCGGAGTATTCATTAAATTTAAGGTCTGTTTGATAAGTAAACAAAATTATAAATTTTGATATCTTCATGTATTAAATTTTTTTTGAAGTATTTGTTGAGGCCAAAAACAAATTAAATTTGATATTTTCAGATATTGTAAATATGTGAGTTTGATATCTCCCTCAATCATTGATCATTTTTCATCATCAGTTACCATTGTTACCGCCAACCACCTTCGTTGCCGGTCACCTCCGCTTATCACTGATTAAATCATAATTTTGAATCTCTTAAAACAATTTAGTTTGATATTTCAAAACACATATCATTTTTTCTGATTTCATTGCTCATATCTTATCATATCTCCAAAACTCACCAAATGGTCCCTAAGTTACACAGAGTATGCCTAATAGGTGTCAATAAAAATTTAATGTCTAATAAAAACAAACAAATCTTTCGCTCCTAAACTTTTTTCCTTGTTTTTTTCTTGTCCCAAAATTCATTTCTCCTTTTGGTGAATCGAGAATAACGGACAAAATTTTAGATAAAATTAATCACTTACATTTAAAGTCAAGATCAATTTTCTATCTTAAAAGTTTAAGATGATATGGTACGTGTATCACTTTTTTATATATATGTTGATGGACTCTTTATTTTTCAATATGAGAATTCCGATATATTTCTTCCTTAAATCACATAAAAAGTAAAATGAGAATGACTTTAAAAGGAATGATGGGGAACTTACTACGTAGTCATTAAACACACATGCGCTAATTCAACATTATTGGGGCTTTTTTTGTGCTACACACCCCACCATTGCTATCAACCTTGCCTCCACCCACTTCTTTACTACATATTTATCTCTACCTATTCTCCACCCACTCTCTAATTTTAATTTTCTTGTCTCCCTACCACATGTTTATGTAGGGGGGGCATGGGTGGTAGCAAGGGTGGGGGTTTTTAGCATTTTCCTATGGGGAATCCAATGTCCTCTCATCTAATTAAAATTTAAACATCCTTTGGATTAGGGAAGAAAATGAGATGATTGAAAGTGAGAAGAAAGAAAATAAGAAGGAAAGAGAAAAATAGAAAGGAAATAGATGTTATTTGGACTGATGGAAAAAGAAGAGAAAAAAGTATAAATGACAGAAAATGTGATTATGTAAAATTACATTTTTATTCTTGTTACTTTTTGAAAGAGCACGCAATATGTAAAAAAGATGGGGGAAAAGTACTTGTAATTTATTACGGAGTACAATTTTCTTTCCTATGCTTCCGTTTGAGAGAATATTTAGCTTCACTTTTTCTTTTGCTTTCAGTTCTTTCCGAGTTTTCTCATCAAATCAAACAAATGGAAACACATTGAAATATGTTTTTTCTCTTTTCTCTTTTTCTTTCTCTCTATATTCTCTCCATCCAAACACACACTTAATAAAAATCTCATATTATAAAATTTGTTTTGGATTAAATCGACTTGTTAGTTTGGTATTCGAAAAGACTGAAATAATTTTCCTATATCGAACATACTCCTTAAAAAATCGATTATACATGAGATGGTAGCGTTTTTTGTGAGGGTATTTGTTTGTTTTTTGCTGATAAGCAGATTTTAAGTTATAAATTGCTTATGAGCTAATATTCTTTCGTGGAAGTAAAATAACTTAAATGATAGATGATACTAAACAAGCCGCCAGAGCCTTCCCAAATCAGCCTATTATATTAAGAAGGGGATTACGCATAAGGAAACCATAAACTAGATTGATAGGATATGATTTTTGATTGATTTGGAAGTTAATGTGTTGATTTTATTCCCATTTCTATTATTGTAAGGAACCTATATCTAACAACCCAAAGTGATAAGAGCAGAATAAAATTGTTATCTTTTTACTTGATCTTCTTTTTCTAGGGAGTTAATCGCCACTCAGTGTGATCTTGTGATACACTCGTGTAGTCGTGTATCAATATATACGTCATTCATATATAAGGAATAATTCACTAAATAAGAGTACAAAATTATGAAAATATCAAAATAAGAGTCATGGGTTTTTTAAACATAAAATAAGAGCTTACTCTACATTGTTACACGATCACACTCATCACATTGTCACACGGTAACTACTACACTATCACTTCCACATTATCATCCACCGATCGTGGTGGTTGACTATTTACACTGTCATCATTTTTCTATCACACTATCAACTCGTACCCTTACATCAGATTATCATTATACTTTTATTTTGATCTTAAAAGATTTAACTTCTATTTTAGTATTTTCATATTTTTTTACTCTTGTTTAGAGAAGATTTGTTTATTCATAAATAGTAAGAGATATTTTTGTAAATAATCTGATCAAAATGGAGAAGCCACTACATTGATTTAAAGATAAGTAGCTAATATCTACTTTTTTAAAACTTATAAGCAGTTTATAAATTAGCTTATAAGCACAACAAAATACTTATCATTTGACCTATAATTTAAAAATAACTTATAAATACGGAGAAACACTTATGAACACATGACAGAGAAAAACTTATAATGTACTCCCTCTGTCTCAAATTAACGCTCTATGTGTGACTTTGTGCGGAGTTTACGAAAAATGAAATTGTGTAGTTGGAAGTCATGCAACTAAAAGAAAAAAATGGCTAGCCACAAAAAGCTTTCCCAAATAAGGAAAGAAAAAAATTAATTTGGGACAACCCAAAAAGAAAATAAGTAGGATTAGTTTGGAATAGAGGAAGTATTTAATAACAAATGTCAGTTTCAAGCAAAAGGGCAATACTCTCTTCATCTCTAAATAATTTACACAGTTTACTATTCAAAAATTATCAAAACTTAATTTAAGGACGAATGAAGTATTATTAACGCTTTCGGTGTTTTTGTAAAGAGTAAATAATTTAAGAACACATGAAGTATTATTTAATTCATACCAAAACTATGACAATTTTGATTTTCGAGGGGCCTACGTGCTAACGAAATGTTAATTGGTCCATGTGAGTATGTGACCATGTGCAATTGGTGGGTTAGCACATGTTTAGTCGTATTCAATTAGAATTAGAATTATGACTAAATTTAACAACTTTTGTATACCAACTAGTGCATCACCCGTGCGATGCACGGAGAGATAAGGTTTATCACAAACTTTTTTAGATATGAGAATGGTTGATATTGAATATTATTTAATAAATATGGAGATATGTCCATCTACCTGCATATCATATTAAAAATTTAATTTTCAATAAAACCACTAACATTCAAACCAAACTATTCCATACATATACACTATTCAAATGAATAAAAATAAACAACGTATGTTTAAACATCAATTATATATTTTCAAAAACCTCCTTGTAAACTACATTATCGGTAGTATTACATGGAGTATCATCAGAATTACATATCATTACTTTTAATCCCTCGCGAGATCGTACCCTCGACATGGCGACATACAATTGTCCGTGACTAAAAACAGGCTTATTCAAGAATAAACCAACATGAGAGAGAGACTGTCCCTGACTTTTGTTTATGGTCATTGCATATGACACCATAACCGGAAATTGTCTTCTTTGAAACTTAAATGGCAATCTGGTATCGGATGGAGTTAATGAAACTCGCGGTATTAAGACCGTTTGTC